TTCTACTGATCATAATTCCATTGTTGAGGTCTACTAGAATAGATTTACATTGTGCAATGTTCCAAACTCACATTGGTTTCTCATACAGCATCTCTGTATAGTATGTGTATTCACTCTCTGTCCTAAACGGCTTGTTGGAGCTCCTGCCCCCCCCTCTCCCTGTGAGCCCAGTGGCCGTCTGCGAGACAGCGAAACACCACGGAACTCAGCCTGGGCACACATACACACCCGCAGCCTGGCTGGGAGTTTGTGTGTGTGCGCAGGCTGAGTTCCGTGGTGTCTCGCCGACCACCACTGAGCCAGCTCACAGTGTCCCACTCCTCGCAACAGCGAGCCTCGCAACGTGTGTCTGTCTGTCTGTCTGTCTGTCTGTCTGTCTGTCTGTCTGTCTGTCTGTCTGTCTGTCTGTCTGTCCGTCCGTCTATTGGTCCAAACGTAACGGCTCCGTGGACGTAACATAACGGCGTGACTCTGCAGACCGTTCACATGCATAAAAAGCTACATAACACACAAGGTAATAACTGGTAATAATATCTGGTAATAACCAGAAAAGCATGATATGGGACCTTTAACACATATGATGAGTTTGCCTTGGTGTATATGGTGCATACATAAACACAGCCAAAGAAGATAAATTGTAAGAAAAGGACCCCAAAAATAATATTTATTTATAATATATCTACTGGCGAACTGGAAGCCTCTTGGACAGCAAAGTGCTCTTGACAAATCTCCGGCCTTCCCCAACACAGCTGTCTTTTCTCATCCCACTTGTTATTGTTACTGCTGCAACAGGCTGACTGTTGGTACACATACACCGTTGCTAGGCTATAAAACACCTAGCCACAACCCTGAGGCTTTTACGTGATAGCTGCAGGAGCAGCAGCAAATACGTGCCGGTGTGTGAGCTTTGTTGGGCCTGCCACTCTCAAAAGCTATCTCCACAAGCTACTGCACCATGTCAAAGTCAGGCAAGATAAAGGTGCCAGCTCTGAGCCAGTAGCTGTTGATAAAGACTTCAGTGGTGTGTAGTGTAAGCGCTGCTCAGCATACAACATCCATGCCTCATCTTTAGAATGCCTCAATTAACATGATCTATTTTTAAACGTTCATGATTGTGGAAAGTTGTATGTGCTTATTTGTTTTAGCTCATAAGTTCATCATAATCAGATCACAGTTTATTTAACAACAAATGCACCATTTGATTTAAATCAATCCTAGATGTGAGAAGCAATCATAGGCAGACAATCCAGTTTATGCTCTGAATAGCTATTTAGTTCAATCTCAAACACACTCCTGTCAGTTCTGAAATGGTTTGTGACTGTTTTTGGGGAGAGCAGCAGAAACAGGAGGCGAAGCCTCTCCTTATAACTCAAACACACATTACCTATATTTGCAAGAACAGGAAAATAGAAAGTAATCAAGACTGTTTCTATCTGTAAATAAAAGCGAATGATACATGTTTATGCTCCGTGATTTGAATTTGGTTTGTGCTTTGGACCTTGCTACACCCTTACACCACCTTTTATGAATATCAGGCGAGAGTTTTTATCATAACCACGTTGAAAAACGTACACACAATCCTAGTTTCTTCGTAAAAACGCTCACCTAACATTATACCACCCTTAGTCCCCTCTGTCTGCTAATGATCAAAGCATAGAACTTTTATTCAGTGTTTGTTTTTTCTTCAAACCGCCCCAGGCTTCAAAACCTTGACCTGTCCCTTGTCATTGATTATTTCTCACAGTGTAGAACCTTGTTCTAATTAGCAACACAAGAAACATGACTCTAAAATAACATGTACGTTACTGTTGCCCCAGTACTGTATGCTCTTTAAATAGAGCGCAGTCTCAGCATGTGTGCATGTTAGAGTGTGATCTGAATGTCCCTTTGTTGATTCGTCCTTCAGAGAGCACGCGGCAGAGGGCCTACAGTCTGGTGGCTCAGGCCTACACCTCCTTGGCGGCAGACGACTTCGCTGCCTTCGTGGGATACTCTGTGGAAGAGGCAGTAAAGGGTACGTTTACATCCACACAGGAAATTTCATCTTATCACTGTTAGTGTGTAAAAAATACATTACATTCAGATCTACAGGTTTAACGGCAACTATAGAATCATCTGGACCGAGGTAAGATAGTTTGTTATGCTAACTCCACGGCGGCTAATTGTGCTTTATTAATCTACTGGTATAGTTATGTATTTTGAAAATTCATGTGTTTAAATCATTCCCTGGGTAGTGGTTTGTGTTACTGTAGTTCAGCATTTCTTTCTGACACTTGGAGCAAACAGTCAGCAGATGGCTGACATCAAACACATCGGACGTCTTGAAGTCAACCTCTTCCTCGTTAACTTTCCACTTTTTAAAAGAACAAAATGTAATCTCCAAATCATTTTTTTCCTTTGTTTATTGGTCATGGGATGACAGTTCCAATCAGTTACACAATAGTGCCTTCTGAGCATGTTTAAAAGGTTTAAAGTGAAATAGTTACACTACTTCACTCTACCAGTCAACAGGTTGCATTTTCCAGTATCCTCTAAAGATGTCTGACTTCCTGTTAATGACGTCACATTCCCAACAGCAATTTGTACAGTGATTAATTGAATCTTATTGCCATTAAACACACATTTCTACATTTGCTGATGAGGCTTGTGTTCTTCTCCTGTCTTCAGGGGTGGTGAGTCAGGGCTGGCAGGCCGACCCTGCTACCAGGATGGTGATGCCCAAAAAGCCCGGTAGGTGGCAGTATTGCTCTCTTCAACTGTTCACATCTGTTCTGTTGCCTAAACTGTCTTCTCTTCAGGATTAATGCCGAGCCCACCTTCTCCTATATATAATCAGACACACTGACACTGTTGGAGCAGGGATTAAAGAACGATCAATTATATTTTATTTTCCTGGAATCTCTTGAAATATGTGATTTGCTAAATCTGCTCTTGTTTAAGATCCATATTTCCCTCATCCAGTCCCTTCCTTTTATTCTACTGTGTTTCTTTCTACCACATCATCACATGTCCTCACCAGTTATTGATCGCTCTGTCTCCCAAGAGAAAACTTCAGACTTATGCGCAGTGTTCTCTAACAGAGAGGAGGCGGCTGCGGTATGTCCTGCTGTCTGTAATCATCCGACATATTTGCTAAACCATCTGTTGCGCACATGTCCGTCTCAACAGGCTAACCCACTCAACATTAATCCTCATGCCCCCCC